TCTCAGTCTAGTTCTATAGCCTACACAATCATGGGGAAGACTGCTGACCTGACTGTAGTCCAAAAGACGGCAATTGGCACCTTGCACACAGATGGCAAAAGAGGCTGGCTGTTCACAGAGCTCCAAGCACATTAATAGAGAGGTGAAGGGAAAGAAAAGATGTGGTAGAAAAAAGTGTACAAGCAATAGGGATAACAGCACCCTGGAGAGGATTGTGAAAAAAACCCATTCAAAAATGTGGGGGAGATTCACAAAGAGTGGGCAGCAGCTGGGTCAGTGCTTCAAGAACCACTACCCACAGACGTATGAAGACATGGTTTCAACTGTCCCATTCCTCGTGTCAAGCCACTCCTGAACAACAGACAGCGTCAAAGCGTTTCGCCTGGGCTGAAGACAAAAAGGACGGGACTGCTGCTGAGCGGTCCAAAGTCATGTTCTCTGATGAAAATCAGAGTCCCAGATTGTGGAGGAAGAGATGAGAGGCACAGAATCCACATTGCTTCCATAGTTTCCACAGGCTGTGATGGTTTGGGGTGCCATGTCATCTGCTGGTGTTGCTCCACTGTGTTTTCTGAGGTCCAAGGTCAACACAGACATATACCAGGAAGTGTTAGAGCACATCATGCTTCCTGCTGCTGATCAACTTCATGGAGATGCAGATTTTATTTTCCAACAGGACTTGGCACCTGCACACAGTGCAGCTACCAGTATCTGATTTAGGGACCATGGTATCCCTGTTCTTAATTAGCCAGCACACTCGCCTGACCTTAACCCCACAGAAAATCTGTGGGGTTATTGTGAAGAGGAGGATGCGATATGCAAGACCCAACAATGCAGAAGAGCTTAAGGCCACTATCAGAGCAACCAGGGCTCTCATGACAACTGAGCAGTGCCACAGACTGATCAGATCCATGCCACGCTGCCTTGCTGCAGTAATTAAGGAGCCCAACTAAGTACTGAGTGCTGTACATGCTCATACTTTTCATGTTCATACTTGACAGTTGGCCAGGATGTATTGATCTTAAATAATATTCTAATTTTCTGAGATACTGAATTTGGGGTTTTCATTAGTTGTCAGTTATAATCATCAATGTGAAGAAATAAACACTTGAAATGTGTCAGTCTGTGTGGACTGAACGTATACATTATACAACTTTCACTTTTTGAATGGAATTGGTAAAATAAATTAACTTTTTGATGATATTCTAATTTTATGACCAGCACCTGTATTTTAAATGGATAGCTTTACCTGAATTTAAGTGGTATTTTACCAACAGGCATTCAGTGGGTTCCACAGTAAAATACATTTTTTATGCACAACTTTGACCACAACTTGAAAGATATTGTCAGCAGCCACCTGTAGAATACTACTATATGTCATACTATGTCATACAAACACAAAAACAAGTTGTGAATTATTCCAAACAATTAAACAAACTTTTATACCAGCTAGTTTTTTGTTTGCTTGTCCAACCAGATTGAGGTTGATTTTAAAATAAATTGAAAGGTTTCAAGCTTCTACTGGATGCTGTGACAAAAGCAG